AGTCTTCTTTTGCCCAAGGATTAGTGTCTTTTAAGAGAATAATGGTAATGACAGTGATGATGAAGGTTTGCCATGTTGATGATATCAATAAGATTTGAATTTTATGCTGTTTTGTAAATCTGTGTTTTATACTATTTTTTATCACTGATTTTATCTATTGTTAGATCTATCGGTGTTATTATTAACTATTTTTATCACTGATTTTATCTATTGTTAGATCTATCGGTGTTATTAGTACTGCTACTACAAATGTTCTACTTCTCCGTTAATATGCTTTTAACAATTATTGTATATCTGGTACTTATTTTCACTACTTGATCAAAAAGAAAAAAGGAAAGAAATCATGTATAAAAAAGATGGATAAGCTCCACTTAAATAATGCAATTGGCATATTCTTTATTCATTTCAACTGAGAATTTTGGCGTTTATGTTCTTTGTTATTTACGCACCTGGATATGTCCAATTTGACAAGTTTGTGGATGTTAACTAGATTGAGTGGGTTCGAATCCTCTTGGTACAGTATAGTTATCCATCCCTTTGTGTAGTCAAAATGTCTCTCTCTATCTATCTATCTATCTATCTATGTATCTATATCTCTCTCTCCCTCGCTCTCTCTTCTCCCTCTCTCTCTCTCTCTCTCTCTCTCTCTCTCTCTCTCTCTCTCTCTCTCTCTCTCTCTCTCCTTTCCCTCTCGTCTCTCTTCTCTCTCTCTCTCTCTCATCTCATCTCTCTCTCTGTCTCTCGTCTCTCTCTTTCTCTCCTTCTCTCTCTCTCTCTCTCTCTCTCTCTCTCTCCCTCTCTCTCTCTCTCCTCTATCTCCTATATCTATCTATCTAATATCTTCTGTCTATCTATCATTATCTATATCTTTCTGTCTATCTCCGTCTCTCTTCTCTCTCTCTCTCTCTCTCTTTCTCTCTCTCTCTCTCCTCTTCTCTCTCTCTCTCTCTCTCGCTCTTCTCTCTCTCTCTCCTTCTCTTCCTTCTCCTTCTCCTTCTCTTCTCCTTTCCTTCTCCTTTCCTTTTCCTTTTCCCTTTTTTCCTTTTTTCCTTTTCCTTTTCCTTCTTCTTCCTTTCTCCTTCTCCTTCTCCCTCTCTTCTCCTTTCTCCTCCTGCTCCCTCACGCTTATCTCTCTCTCTTTCCCCTCTCTGTTTTATTCCTAACCCTTGGTTTATTACTCCCAACTTTTCTCACCTTTCAGCTGTTAATCATTCTCCTTCTCTTCCACTCTCCTCGTTCCTCTTTTTAAATTTTCTAATTCGTGTTCTTTTCCTTTCTAATTTCGGATTTTCCTATTTGTCTTTTTCTCTATATTGGGAAAGTATTTAGCTCTACATTTTTCCTTAGGCAAGTATTGATTTGTTTTTATTGTTTTAAACTAGTTCAATGTCGCAATTTCGTTTTTCATTTCTTTTTTTGTTTGTTTTGTTGTTTTTTAATAAAAAACACCCGTTTTTCATTTAGTGATATCAAATTCATCTGTCTTCTCTGTTTCCTCCCGCTTAAGAATTGCGTCAATCTAACATACAAATAAAATATTAGAAAGAAACATAAATAATACAGAAACACATACAAACAAAAAAAATTGACAGAAACACACGCTGAAATTCCGCGCCGAACACATATTCAAACACGTAAATAAGGTTTATGAATGCATTTGCGATTGGACAAAGATTCATTTAGTGTGTGTTTTGCTGAACGAAATACTCTTGTCCATTACTGGCTACAGCAAAACAACACGAAAATTTGGCAGAAAAATATTTCATGAACCATTTCACTATTCTCAGACTTCTATTAAGGTAAGATAAGACAAAAAAAGGGATAGATATATGTATGTGTAGTTATATACACATATATTGAGAGAGGGAGGAGAGAGAGGGAGAGAGAGAAAGGAGAGAGAGAGAGAGGAAGAGAGAGAGAAAGGAGAGAGAGAGAGAGAGAGAGAGAGAGAGAGAGAGAGAGAGAGAGAGAGAGAGAGAGAGAGAGAGAGAGAGATAAAGAGAGACAAAAAATAGAGTAAAAACAAAAAAAAAGAACAGAAAGAGACAGGGAACGAGAAAGAAAGAAAACAAAAAAGAGAAAATAAGAAAAAAAAAAAAAAGAAAACCAACGAAAAAACAGAGAGATAAAGAGCGAACGAATATTGCCACGCCGTCGAAAGGCTCCAGCAACGCAGATTGTACCTCCATCAAGATTCATTAGCTTGCATTCGACGGGGATCTGCATGTCGAATGTGGACTGAATTTGGCCATGAGGACTTTTGTTGCACCAAAATAATGTTATAAGCTTTGTGATGGCGTCGTTCCACACAAAAAAAGAAAAGAGGGGATTTTGCACTCTTTTTTATGGCAACGTTTGTGTCAAGGGAGTTAAAAGGGAGAGAATGTGGGTTATCTTTGTGAAATGTATTGTTCAGATGTATTTTAAAATTAAGTATAGGTTTGAGCATAGAAGAAAGAAAAGAAAGAGAAAGAGAGGTAGTATATAGAGAAGATATACTGCTCCATAACGAGGAATGGATAGGAGAGAGGAGAGAGAGAGAGAGAGAGAGAGAGAGAGAGAGAGAGAGAGGAGAGAGAGAGAGAGAGAGAGAGAGAAGAGAGAGAGAGAAAGAGAAAGGAGAAGCAAAAAGACAAAAAAAACTTTTTTCACAGAAGTACATAAACATAAAAAAAAGGAAAAGAAACTGTTTGATACCACAACAGCCTAAAAAAAAAAAAAAAAAAAATGCGTACCGTGCTCGATGGAGATCTATCGCACATTTTCATCCTCCAAAAAAACATAAAATGGAATAGATAGCGAAAAAAAAAAAAAAGAAACTACACATGGGAGAGAAATAGACAAAGTTCTAATGGATTAACTTGGATCCTCAATAGCAAAGTTTACCCGAAAACAGTATGCAAATTCGATTATTTTTCTTCACTACGGATAAAACAGCTGATGGAAAGTCCCCCTGTCTATTTCCCTCATAGATTCAAGTCAAAGTTATTTTCACTGTCACTATTACTCTTCTTGTACTTTGATATATATATAGATATATTGTAACGTGGCTCGTGAATGATTGTTATTATATTTCTAAGATTGCCATTATCGTGATTATTGTTTTGGTGATGATAATAATAACGACGATGATGATGGAGATTATGATGATAATGATGATCATAATCATGATGGTTATCGTACTGTCTTTAGGTCCTATTTATCATAATAGTTATTGTCTTTTTCATTATTATTGTTATTATCGTTTTTGATTTTCTTAAATATCTTTATCGTTATAATTATTATCAACATTATTTTCATTATCCTAATCTTCATTAGCATCAATATTAATACCGAAAAAAACATTACTATTTATCAGAAGTAATAGGAAAATTAATGATAGGAAATATAATGTTATCACATTAATTTGTCCATTTCTTGCTGTCTAAAATATAATAAATAATACCATTAATGATAATCTAATGACGATTAATGGTGATGAAAGTTACGTCGTTTTGTTATTAGAGTTGTAGTAAGTGTAGGTGTTGTAGCAGCTGCAGCAGGCGTTGTCATGTTGTAGACATGTTGTAGATAATGAGAGAGAGAGAGAGAGGGAGGAAGAAGGAGAAAGAGAGGAGAGAAGAGAGAGGAGAGAGGGAGAAAGAGAGAGAGAGAGAGAGTGAGAGAGAGAGAGAGAGTGAGGTGGGGAGAGAGGAGAGAGAGAGAGAGGAAGAAGGAGAAAGAGAGAGAGAGAGGAAATAAGAAGAGAGAGAGAGAGAGGTGGGAGAGAGAGAGGAGAGAGGGTGAGGTGGGAGAGAGAGAGAGAGGAGAAGAGAGAGAGGGAGGAAGAGAGAGAGCGATTAACTAAATTTAATTATCGTTGTTGATTTTATCTTAATTTTATCTTTAGTAGCGTTATTCTTTTCATTATCATATAAAAGAATTAAATTAAAATCATAAAGATCATTATTCTTCCTCCATATAATCCTAAATTATTATGATACTTTATACAAGAGGAGNTATATATATATATATTTATTTATTTATATATGTAGATGTTGAAAAAAGAGGATATGAATAGTAGTAGTAGAAGGACAAGTAGTAAAGATGAAAAGCATTGAAAAACAGAATAAGTAAGAGCAACAGACACAATGGCATTAGTATTAGCAACAGAATTTGTAATAATCATATTCATATTTGCAATGATAGTAATAACTATGATGACTATGATAATAATGATGATAATGATATTGATGATTATGATGATGATGATAAAAGTATTACAGTAATTACAATAATAATAATAATGACAGTAATAATATTCGCTATAATCAAGGTATTCATCATCACAAAATATTGAAAAACATCATCAATTTATCATAATCATCATAAATATATATGACATATAATACATTACACACAGAGCTCTTGTACTTGCAGGAGGTCAAGCTGTTTCAGAAAAACAGTACTAGCTGAAGGTCAGGTCATTTGACACGTGCTTTGACTACACCCAGCAACAAGGGATACTCAGAGGGAAATTAATTACAAGATCACATCCTTATTATATCATCATCCCTTGTTCTTGCATTCTAGTCTTAAGAGTGGACATCACAGTCTGCTTTTCTTTTCATAAAAAGGAGGTCCTGTAAAGCTATAGTATTTCAAAGTGCTATTACACCACTACTTTTGTACATTGCATTAGTGGGTAAGTGTAGTTGTACACATACTTTTGTAGCTTTGTGCAGGTCACACAGGTAAATTAAAAAAATAATGAAAAGAGGATAAAAAAAAAAAATCTTGTGGAGACATTAGTGGCTTAACAATGTTTCTTCCACTCATAATCTGCTCGTTCTCTGCTACTTTATCTGGAGATTATGTTATTTCTATGTTACTCCTATGTTTTCTTGTACAAACAGATTACCTGGTACTTTGTAATTTCATTTAAGCAGAACCACATGATTGCCAAAAGGATTTTATCACATAATACACCCAATGCCATAAGGTGAATTAAACTCAGAATA